CGCCCGTGATCTGGAAAAAAAAAAATAAAGGAAACAGCCCTCCCCTTTGCAGGAGGTTTTCAGCAGCATTCACGGTAATCGCATAAGAAGCCGTGCCTTCTACGAAATGTCAGACATGCTGGATTCCAGTCACCAAAGCTCTCATAGAAAACGACAACAACAACAACAACAACAAAGAAACCTTTACAGCTTTTAGCCAGAAAGATAAGGGGCTTAAAACCAAGCACCTGGATCTTACTGCTCAGAACCAACGACCATTTTTACAGTGTTCTTTCTCTTGACTGAGCAGAAGGATTTATACAGCGCTTTCACGCCTCCAAGCACTAGATAAATGGTATTTCAATTACCTGACAAGTGCATATTGAAGTAATCAGTATTCTTGCCAACGAACAAGCAGCCCCAGAGCAGGAAAACTGCTGCTCTGTTTGGGCTGCCACCACACCGCTGAAGGTCGTCGGGGGGTACAGTCCCGCTGGGAGGCCCTTCTGCACCGCCTGCCGGAGGGCACAGCCCTTGGCAAACCCTTTCCCACTGCCAACTAAAGCACGAGCTGGAACTGAGCTTGCAGAAAGTGGCATTTGTACCAACCAAGGGGCTTTAGGTGATGTGGTTACTCTCTCACGGTTTATAAACAAACAAGTATAAATCGCGGGGGGGGAGTAAATAAAAATAATCCCAAGCAGTCACCTTCAAGAAACGAAACAGTTTCTTGTCCCTCTACGGACAAAAGCAGCCTGACCACAACAGCACTTCAGGTAAATGGGGGACAGGACCGACAAGGCCTCTTGACAAAAGCCCCTTCTAACCTGCTCTTTAGCCCAAATGCAAAGTTTACAGTTTTCACGCTTCAGGAAAAAAAGGCACTGAGGTAAATTTTTAGACTCTTCCACGTTGTCTCTGCGGTAACTGTTCCCCAAAATCCTGTTGCCTCCCTTCCCGCCTCGTGCCGGTGGGGTCGCAGCAGCAGCGAGCGCAGAGGGACGCTCGTGCATCAAGGCGACGTGCAGCCCTTCCGCGCGCTCCGGCTGCGCGCGGTCAGCACCCACGCTCCCTTCTCTCTCTACGCTTTGTTGCCGTGTCCGGTGCAAACGGGGGGCAGACTGAACCTGGCTGCGTGCCGCGTGCTCGGGACAGCACTGAGCGTAAACGTGGGACCGTCCTCTCTCGCACCGGCATCCCTGGAGCCTTCCTTGCCCGTCAGCCATCGCTGCACGGCACCAGGGGCTCCGGGCGGAGTTATGGCAGTAACCGATGCTCCGGCTCAAGGATTTTTACGATGGACGCGCAGTGCGTGCGTCGGAGATAGTGGGAGCCCTGAGAGAGGGGCAGAGAGACTGACTCTCCTCTCCCAGCTCCACGCAGAGAGCAGAACCTGGTAACCTTCCTGGACGTGCAGGCAGAGCACCCATTGCGAGTGGGGAGAGAGGGGAGGAGAACACGGCATGCCGTACAGAGTGGCACAGGGAGGACAGGATGGCATGTCACGGGCAGGAGGGGTGGGAGAGCAGCGCAAGGGGGGGTTAGCGAGGGGAAGCAGAGCACGGGAGAGTGGTGGGAGGAAAGCATCTGAGGCTAAGGGTTCCCTTCCTCTTCCAGCTGCTAAAGGCGTCCTGTGCTCTTGGTGCCACCTCCACAGCCGGGCCCTGCTCCGAGCTCCTCTCCCTCGGTGCCAGACCTGTTCATGGCTCAAAATCAGTTTGATTTGTGAAAGGGGGTTTTGAGCTTTCCTGGGTTGGTCTGTTGGATATGTATTGCTAAAGGTTCAGTATCAAACCATCAGCCCGTGCCTCAACCATCATCTTTACCCTTTTGAGACACAATTTGTTAAAACATAGCTCCCAATT